GAGGGACAGAGAGGATGAGAGAGAGGGAGAGAGAGAGAGAGAGAGAGAGAGAGGAAGGAGCGGGAGAGAGGGAAGTTGAATTAGGGCAGGGTGAGAGGAGAGAGAGAGGAAGAAAAGAGAATGGGGAGAGGGAGAGAGAGAGAGAACGAGAGGAGAGACGAGGAGAAGACGAGAGACGATGGCAAGAGACGAGGGAAGACTGAGGGAGACCGAGAGGCGGAGGAAGGAGGAGGGAGAAGCAGCAGAGAGAGAGAAGACCGAGAGACGAGAGAGGGGAGAGGGCCGTAGAGGACGAAGCGAGGAGAGAGGAGAGCAGACCGACCCCCCGACCCCGGACGCACCGGACAGCACGGACGAGAGAGCAGAGGTCCCACACCCTGCACCCGAAGGAGAGAGAAGAGAGACGAGAGAGAGGAAGAAGAGGAGAGAGGCGGGGGGGGAGAAGGGAGCAGTCTAGCACGCGGATTGATCACGAACCGAGAGTGTTTTGATTTTCCGTAAGCGATTGTTATCAGTATCAACAATGTGATTGTGTACACAATTAAAAGCGAATAAAGCCAGAATCAAAGCGAATTGCAACAGACACATTTAGCTTTTATTAGCGTATATTTTTGTTCGGAAATGAATTCGCACGCCGTGATTACTGAATCATTACCCTAAATTGGTGTTATTTGAATTCAAATTTGATTCTGAGAACTCTGCACTAGGGAAATATTTTCGCACCATGCACAAAAGCAATCTAAAATTGGGATGAAATTGCAGTTTTTTTAACCATTATAGCGTCAGGCTCACACTGAGAGGCAAAAAACTTACGCGTGGCGTATATGTAGTGCTAGTGACGAGAGGAAGAATGTACCGAACGAATTTTGGCTATAACTCAGTGACGTGAAACCTACCACTACTAATCCATATGCTAGAATGCAATACATGCCTCGATATATTATCTAATACCGAATATAATTAGTTCATTATTTGATCAATGTTTTTACTAGTATTGTAAGTATTGGCATATATACATCACTAGTACAAAAAAACTAGAAATAAAAGGACGTCTAAATCGTGAGAATTTGACTTTCAAAGTGACCAAAGTGAACGTTTCAAAAGCTCCCATGCATTGACCAAATTTCAGGGCCAAAAACCATATGCGACACGCCTTTTTTATCGTTGGACTTTTTGAGCAATACGTATTTATCCTTTTTTAGAATATATATCAATGCTTTCAGTTATGTTTTCATTACAAATAAACCAATAGAGAAATACCATTACCCATTACCATTACCATTACCAATTACCAATTACCCATTGTTTGCCAACCAAAATTGGCAAGTGGTGGAGATAGACATTAGGAAGAGAATTTTGTATTTCTTCAATTTTCCACTTTTACTACAAAAAACAGTAACGTATTATGTTGTTATTTATTCGCGTAAAAATAGCTATGTCGCAACAGAGATATACAGCTTGTTAAACAAAGTCTAAAATTGAAATCGACACCAAGAACGTGCATCTTGGTGATTAGGAAAAATGGGAAAATCACGCTTTTTAGAGGTAATATAATAGGGTTAATAATTAAAGCGGTATATATATATACATGTTTATAGCAATGATATATATTTATAGATCAGCCTAATGACACAATGCACACGGTGTTCCCCTTATAATGATGCACTGTTTCTTACAAAAATCATTACAGACTGCGCACTCGAAGATAAATGTGCATGGGGGAACGGCAATTATGAGCCAGTGTTCGTTTACATTCTAATCTCCGTGCATTGCTCGTGTCTATCGCTCACTGTACCAGCGATAAGCACCAGTTTACGGACGGTCCTTTGTGCGGCCTCCCCGCGTTTTATTTGCAACGTATTGAGGCTGCCGCTGCTGCCGCTGCGGTGACGGTCTTCCACGCCACGCTAATTGGAGTGTTAATTTTATCACCTCGGTAGAACACCCGTGCACGGCTTAATTACCAGCTGCGTCCGATTTTTACCGAGCTGAGCCTAGGCGCGTGTATTTCGCAGGACGTCTCTCCCTCCTCTCTCTCTCTCTCTCTCTCTCTCTCTCTCTCTCTCTCTCTCTCTCTCTCTCTCTCTCTCTCTCTCTCTCTCTCTCTCTCTCTCTCTCTCTCTCTCTCTCTCTCTCTCTTGTCTTCCCTCT